TCTGTTATTCTATTCTATTCCTATTCTAATAAGATAGAGTGAAGTGTTCATGTCATTAAGCCCATTCAGAGTGATGGCAATACTTTTGAAACAAAGAGAGACCTTACTAAAAAGCGGAGGGGGAAACATTTACCTTTTCTATTTGAGTCCATTTATCCAACACATCACTGGCAAAGTTGAAATACTCCGGTAGTTGTTCCTGTCCCTGGCTTACAGCTTCGTACTGTGCAGATATAGGAGAGCTGAGATATCTGGAATATCTCGGAACTAATCTAGGGATCTTTTTCCATATCGTGTAGAAAGCAAGTGAAGTTTTCATGGCTGTGGAAAAAAAGAAATGGCAGCGGTGTTAGCCAATATCAGCCTCCAGAGACTTAATTTACAAGACTGAAGGAGATTAAAAAGGACAAGATCACAATATCAAAATCAGCGGGGGAAATCAAAGTTCCTCCGAAGTATTTCTTGTTGCAAGTTTTTATAATCGCCCTTTCAAATAAACCACGTTCACTGTTGAAAGAGTTGAAGGGCGAGAAAGCAAAGGGACATTTTATCATGTTTGGTGCATATATAAAAAAAGAAAATACAGACACAAATACAGAAGAGGGAGTCAAGCTACTCTCCAAAGCACCTGAGGGCAGGACAAGAAGCAATGGGTGGAAACTAACCAAGGAGAGAAGCAACCTAGAACTAAGGAGAAATTTCCTGACAATTAGAACAATTCATCAGTGGAACAACTTGCCACCAGAAGTTGTGAATGCTCCAACACTGGATGTTTTTAAGAAGATGTGGGATAACCATTTGTCTGAAGTAGTGTAGGGTTTCCTGCCTAAGCAGGGGGTTAGACTAGAAGACCTCCAAGGACCCTTCCAACTCTGTTATTCTATCTATTCTACATATATTAATTCAGAAGATTTTGGAGATTTAAAATACAAGTGAATCCAGAATCTTTTCTTTTGGGACTAATGGACAGGCAATTGGGAAAAGCTGTTTTTGTAGGTGACCACTGCAGCGAGATTATTATGTGCTCAAAAATGGGAAGAGTCAAGCTATCCACAGTGGAGGAAATGGTTGGTGAAGATGATGAAACTTGCAGAGGTGGCTAAATGAATAAGGTCTACATGTATGGCTGTCTAGCAATCCTTTATGGACTTTGGGATGAAATAGAAAAACACGGACCTATGACTTGTGGGTTTTAAGGATTGGGGGGGGGGGAAGGATAATAGAAAAAAGTGACCTCATTGAGTAAGAAATAATTTTGTAATTGTACTTATATTTGCTGCAAAGGAAATTTAACCCTCCCTCCCTTTTTCTTCTCATCCATCTCCTTCCTTCCTTCCTCCCTCCCTCACCCATTTCCTTCCTTCCTTCCTTCCTTCCTTCCTTCCTTTTTTTTTTTTTTTAATTTGATTTATATGCCGCCCTTCTCCGGAGACTCAGAGCGGCTTACAATGCGCTAAGCAATAGCCTTCATCCTTTTGTATATTTATACAAAGTCAGCTTATTGCCCCCCAAACTGGGTCCTCATTTCACCTACCTTAGAAAGGATGGAAGGCTGAGTCAACCTTGAGCCTTGGCGAGATTCGAACCCTACAGTAATTGCAGGCAGCTGGTCTTAATAAGCTTAATAACAGGGTGCCTTAAACCCCTGTAGTACCAAGGCTCCTTCCTTCCTTCCTTCCTTCCTTCCTTCTTCCTTCCTTCCTTCCTTCCTTCCTTCCTTCTTCCTTCTTTCCTTCCTTCCTTTGATATTAATTCGGGGTTTTTTATGTTTTCTTTATCACTATTTTTAAAAAATGGATAATAGAAAAAAATGACCTCATTAAGATAGTTTTGTACTTATATTTGCTGCAAAGAAAATTGAACCCCTCCCTCCCTTTTTCTTCTCATCCATCTCCTTCCTTCCTTCCTTCCTTCCTCCCTTTTTTCCCTCTCATCCATCTGCTTACCTCTTTCCCTTCCTTCCCTCCCTCATCCATTTCCTTCCTTCCTTCCTTCCTTCCTTCCTTCCTTCCTTCCTTCCTTCCTTCCTTCCTTCCTTCCTTCCTTTTATATTAATTCCTTTTTTTATGTTTTCTGTATCCCTTTTTAAACATTTATATAAAAAGAGGAAGAGCTGAAGGATCAAGTTAGGAACAGATCCTTCTGGAGAATATCTCTGCGGCTGCTAAGAGTAAACAACAACTGGATGGCACAATTTCAGCTAATGTTGTCAATGCCCTATTGAAGATTTGGGAGCAATTTTGGGAAGGAATATTTACCTCAGGAAGCTAATCCTTCCCCAAAGGCCATGCTACTACTAACCCACTGTAACTTAAATAATAGGCTGGACAACGAGACTAAATTTTCAATTTAGTTTTAAATTTTAGGAGCCTGGATAGCTCAACAGACAGAGCACTGTAATTTAACTCCAGCTGTCTGCAATTAGTAAGTTCGAATCTCACCAGGCTCAAGGTTGACTCAGCCTTCCATCCTTTCTAAGGTAGGTGAAATGAGGACCCAGATTGTGGGGGCAATAAGCTGACTTTGTATAAATATACAAAAGTATGAAGGCTATTGCTTAACGCACTGTAAGCCACCCTGAGTCTCCGGAGAAGGGCGGCATATAAATCAAATTAAAAAAAAAAAATTGGTTCAAGCTGAACATGGAACATGAGTTTGGCCCACACGCAGACTGACCTGTAAGATGTGCTAGTGAAGAAGCTGGTTGAAGAACTCAAGATTTGTGAAAATTCTTTGTATGTTAGTTGCCTTTCCAAGTTGTCTAGTGGTTTTAAAATGGAACTCCGTTTTTTCTTGGAGAAAACTAACTGGACAAGGTGCCCCTTAGATATAATTCCATGGTTGAAGGATACAAGCGCAATCCAAAACAGCTCACTGAGTTTCTCCTTTAATAACTGACATGCTTGTAAAATATTATCCTAAAATGGTCTCCTTTCAAAGGAGGAAACTATGAACTCTGGCCCAAAAATAAACATGGCAAACAGCACAAAAAATTCCGGTTATCTTGATTTTTTTTTTCCTTCGTCCATTCCTTGCGTTCAAAGGTTAAATGTCTTGGGGATTTGAGTTTGTCCCATGAGTTCTGGACAACCATCTTTCTTTGAAGCTTGATTTTCCCTCCCTACTCAATGATGTAATTCAATCTTTTGGGACCTTGGATCTCGGTCCTTCAACAAAGCTTTATCTTCCCTCCTGCCCCTTTCATGCTTTTCCAATGGCTACTGACAGAAAGGCTGAATTACACAATAATCTTAATCCAGACACTTCAAGGTTTGTGTCTTCCAGTGGAGTGATAACCTGAAGATTCCTTACATCTTTATTGACAAGATTCCTTAGATCTTTATTGCAGCTTGTTCTCACATGAATGTAGCCAATCCTTGCTAAAAATAAATTATTTTTTCTTTGCAGACGAGACAATAAACGAAGGGTGGGAATGAGAGATAGGCTGGCAGGACACAAACATCCAGTCAACTGCGCAAGCAATGCGCTTAGTAGAAGTAATAGCAGTTGCTTATTTTTAAACGTGCTAAATAGTTACTTCGCTTATAGACCCGCGTGTAAACTTATTAATTGATTCAATTTCTACATGCTGTGGTCAGAGGTCTCGCTGTTTTTTGTTTTTATTTTTGCAATGTCATTGAAATATACTAAAATAAGCCATTAAAAATCAGAGGGGGAAAAGAGAAAAAATAAATTTAAAATTAGCCTATAATCCTACATAGTGAAATATTTATTTATTTATTTATTTATTTATTTTATTGAATTTGTATATCGCTCTACTCCTGAAGGACTCAGGGCGGTGAATACCCTCATCCAGAATGTGGATGAGGGTATTCATGAAGGGGGATTTTGCAGTATCCTTCCCCTGGAATGGGGATTTTGCAGTATCCTTCTCCCAGGAGTGGAGAGGGAATGGGGATTTTGCAGTATCCTTCCCCTGGAGTGGGATGGGAATGGGGATTTTACAGTATCCTTCCCCTGGAGTGGAGAGGGAATGGGGATTTTGCAGTATCCTTTCCCTGGAGTGGGGTGGGAATGGGGATTTTGCAGTATCCTTCCCCTGGAGTGGGGTGGGAATGAAGATTTTGCATTGGGGATGCTGCAACGGTCATAAGTGTGAAAAGTGGTCATCAGTCACTTTTTTTTCCTGCCGTTGTAACTTTGAACAGTCATTAAACCAACTGTTGTAAGTTGAGGACTTTGTTGTTGTTAGTTGCGAAGTCGTGTCCGACCCATCGCGACCCCATGGACAACGTTCCTCCAGGCCTTCCTGTCCTCTACCATCCTCTGGAGTCCATTTAAGCTCACGCCGACTGCTTCAGTGACTCCATCCAGCCACCTCGTTCTCTGCCGTCCCCTTCTTCTTTTGCCCCCCATCGTTCCCAGCATTAGGCCCTTCTCCAGCGAGTCCTTCCTCCTCATTAGGTGGCCAAAGGATTTGAGTTTCCTCTTCAGGATCTGACCTTCTAAAGAGCAGTCAGGGTTGATCTCCTCTAGGACCGACCGGTTGGATTGCCTTGCAGTCCAAGGGACTCGTAGGAGTCTTCTCCAGCACCAGAGTTCAGAGGCCTCCATTCTTTGACGTTCAGTCTTCCTTGTGGTCCAACTTTCACAGCCATCCATTTCAACTGGGAAAACCATCGCCTTGACTAGACGCATTTTTGTTGGCAGAGTGATGTCTCTGCTTTTTAGTACGCTGTCTAGATTTGCCATAGCTTTTCTCCCCAGGAGCAAACGTCTTGTCATTTCTTGGCTGCAGTCCTCATCTTGGAGCCCAGGATCTGTCACTAACTCCATTTCTTCCTCATCTATTTGCCAGGAATGGAGAGGGCCGGATGCCATGATTTGATTTGATTTGATTTGATTTGATTTGATTTGATTTGATTTGATTTCATTTCATTTCATTTCATTTCATGACTACATGTCATTAAATCCATGCCTGAATGAAGACGGTCTCCATTACTGCTGTTCTTCTCTGTCATGAAAAATCAATCAATCAATCATATCATCTCTTTCCATTTATTTATTTATTTACTTTATTTGTTTGTGAAACATGTACAAGATAACAGGTATAAGTATAAACATGGACATGAGCACAGGTAATTAATATAAACGGGGACAGTAAGACAAGGACGGTAGGCACGCTGGTGCGCTTATGCACGACCCCTTTACGGACCTCTTAGGAATGGGGTGAGGTCCACGGTAGACCGTTTGAGGTTGAAGCTGTGAGGGTTTGAGGCTGTGACAACGGAGCCTGGTAGAGCATTCCAGGCGATGACCGGTCTGTTGCTGAAGTCGAATTTTCTGCAATCGAGTTTGGAGCGGTTTACCTTGAGTTTGTATCGATCGTTTGCCCATAATATAATTTCAATCTGTAATTATAAGAAGAGCTCAGTCTTTGGAATGCCACTCACCAAGGACCCCAAATTTGACTTAAAACCTTTTAGCATGGAATCAATTCGCTTGGAATAATAGAATGAATGAAAACTGGGACAGCAAAGAACGGAAAAACGATTTATTCGGGAAGGTCGAGCCGTCGCTTGATTTCGCTCCATTCTTGTTTCCGCAAGACACTCCGTTTAATTTTTCCAGCTGCCGTTTTGGGAAGCTCTTGGACAAATTCTATCTGTTCGGGGAAATTAAAAAGAAAAAAAAAAATCTTTTTTTTTTGCCCCTTCGTGGCAGCGCTGAACTCACGTGAATTTTGGGGGGAAGGGGCACGTGGGAATCCCAAGGTGATTTGGTTGGCTAGGCAAGGAAATAAAAATGCAATAAAATAAAATATAAAAATAAAACAAAGAAGGCAAAGGGAAATTACTTAGGTAAACATTGCCAAGAATCAGCCTACATTCATTCCAGAGCTGGGATTCAGCAGGTTCTGACCAGTTCTGGAGAACCGGTAGAGGAAACTTTGAGTAGTTTGGAGAACCGGTAAATACCACCTCTGACTGGCCCCACCCCCATCTATTCTCAGCCTCCCGAGTTCCAGCTGATCAGGAGGAAATGGGGATTTTGTAGTAACCTTCCCCTGGAGTGGGGTGGGAATGGAGATTTCACAGCATCCTCCCCCTGCCACGCCTACCAAGCCATGCCATGCCACACCCACCAAGCCATGCCATGCCATGCCATGCCACGCCCACCAAGCCACGCCCACAGAACCGGTAATTTTGAATTACTACCACTGATTCACTCCCCATTGATCATGCTCAACTCGATTGCAAAGTTCAATCATTTTTTCAACAACTTTCCCGCTCCGACTTGCCTTCCTGGGATATTTATATGGAGCTGTAGATTTTTTCATATAGTCCTGGAGTTCGTGGATTAATGCCTCTGGATCGTGGGATAGAAAAGCAGGAGACAAGATGATAAACGCTTTGACCACCTGTGTGGGCACAAACACACCTGGGAGTGAACGCCTTGAGAAACGGGGTTATCAAGTTACTCCATGAATGATCTAAATCCTGGTTTGTAAATTTACTTCCTGCTGTAACTTGTTGTTGTTAGTTGCAAAGTCGTGTCTGACCCATCGCGACCAGTGATCAAGCGAACTGGTAGCGGCGGTGGCAGGAGGCTTCACCTACCTGCCCATCTCCATGCGCAGAAGCGTCATGCGCGCCCGCGCTCGGCTTTTGAAACCCACTACTGATCGCGACCTCATGGACAACATTCCTCCAGGCCTTCCTGTCCTCTACCATCCTCTGGAGTCCATTGTCAGCTTTGGAAGCCATATTAGGCTGGAAGCTTCCATGCTGCCCCCTCCTACTTTCCCACACATGAGAAGGTAGCATCATGGAAGCTTCCAGCCTACTCACGCTGACTGCTTCAGTGACTCCATCCAACCACCTCGTTCTCTACCGTCCCCTTCTTCTTTTGCCCTCCATCGTTCCCAGCATTAGGCTCTTCTCCAGAGAGTCCTTCCTTCTCCTTAGGTGGCCAAAGTATTTGAGTTTCCTCTTCAGGATCTGGCCTTCTAAGGAGCAGTCAGGGTTGATCTCCTCTAGGACTGACCGGTTGGATCGCCTTGCAGTCCAAGGGACTCGCAGGAGTCTTCTCCAGCACCAGAGTTCAAAGGCCTCCATTCTTTGGCGCTCGGCCTTCCTTACGGTCCAACTTTCACAGCTGTACATTGCAACTGGGAAAACCATCGCCTTGACTAGATGCACTTTTGCTGGCAGGGTGATGTCTCTGCTTTTTAGTATGCTGTCTAGATTTGCCATAGCTTTCCACCCCAGGAGCGGTTCCTGGGAAGTGACTAACTAGAGGTAGTCCTCAATTTACATTCATTTATTTACATTAGATGACAGGGTGTTTCTTTGTGTGGGTAACGTGATTTGTTGAGATCTTTGAGCTTGGTTGTTGACTGGCAAACATTTCATTACCCAACTAGTTGCTCAGCGGGAATGAGTGATGTTACCTAGTCTGCTTTCCTAGTTGAGCTGATGATATTACCTAGTTGGGTAATGAAATGTCTGCAAGAAAACAACCCAGCTCAGTGGGCACTTTCAGTCGTCGTTCTTCTCTTTCTCCCCCTCCTCCTCTCTGCAAAACCCCTGTCCTTCTAGCACTGATGATGTTACCTCTACAAGAAAACAACCACGCTTAGAGAGCACCAAAGACCCCACAGTCATTGTCGTCGTCGTCGTCGTCGTCGTCGTCCTCCTCCTCCTCCTCCTCCTCCCTCTAGCACTGATGATGCTACCTAGTTTAGTAATGAAATCAGGGGTGGGATTGAAAGATTTCAGCAACCGGTTTGCTGCCCGGTTGCTGGATGGGCGTGGCCATGGGGGCGTGGCCTACTGCACGTCCTGCAGCACGGCGGGGGTCGTTTATGCCCTACCTGGGCTCTGGAGGCTTTCCTCGAGCCTCCAGGAGGGCGAAAACAGGCCCGTTTCCGGACTTTCGGTAGGCCTGTTTTTTTGCCCTCCGCACGGATTCTGCACTTACCTGGCATCCATGTGGAGATTCCTGGGAGGGGCGGAGTGGGTGAGGTCAGCCAGTCCTTGGAACAACCGGTTCAGCGAACCAGATTAAAATTAACATCAGGTTCACCTGAATCGGTCTGAACCGGCTGTATCCCACCCCTGAACGAAAGGTCTGCAAGAAAACAGCCAAGCTCAGAGAGCCCCAAGGATCCCACGTTTTGACCTTGAGCTAAAAATATTTTCTTCTATTGGATAATTTATGGCACAAGGGCCTAGCTTACCTCTCCTCTAACAGGATCTGGGCTACTGACAACAGCTGATTCGACCACTGCTGGGTGTTCCATCAAAGCGCTCTCCACTTCAAAAGGGCCAATGCGGTATCTAAAACAGATGTCATCGTTTTTTAACCCTTCTGTGAAGGGTAAAGGAAAGAAAACAACCCCACCGTAGAAAAAGGAAACCCTACCCAGAGGAATTGATGATGTCGTCTGCCCGCCCAACGAACCAAAAATACCCTTCTTCATCTTTGACCGCTCTGTCTCCGGTGATATAAAAATCCCCACGTTCAGTGGCTGCCGTTTTTTCTGGGTTATCCTGGAAAGAACCAACTGTGAGTCCATGATCCAACATTTCTAGGTTCAATGGCCTTCCAGTTATGCGGACTACAGTTCTAGGAATTTTTCAACTAGTCTGGCCATCGATTAAAATTCCTCGGTTTACGACCACAATTGAGCCCAACATTTATGTTGCTAAGTCGAGTGTTGGGGTGGCCTCGAGGTGGAGCTCTCGCCTCACAATCAGGAGGCTGTGAGTTCGATCCTAGGTAGAGGCAGATATTTCTCTCTCTGGGCACACAAAGATTATATCCGCTGAACAAAACTCTGCATTAGCGACAGGAAAGGCATCCGGCCAGTAAACACTCAGTTGCCCAGACTCCAGCCCGCAAGGGATTATGGGGTCGTTAAAAGAGGATGATTATTTATGTTGCTAAGTGAGAAATTTGTTAAGTGAGTTTCCCCCCATTTTACAACTTTTCTTGCCACGTTTGTTAAGTGGATCACAGCAGTTGTTCAATTAGTAACACCGTTGTTAAGTGAATCTGGCTTCCCCATGGACGTTGCTTGTCCGAAGGTCGCAAAAGGGGATCGCGTGACTCCAGGACACTGCAACCGTCATAAATACGAACCAGTCGTCAAGCATCCGAATGTAAATCATATGACCATGGGGAGGCTGCGACAGTCGTTAAGTGTGAAAAATGGTCCTAAGCCACTTTTTTCAGTGCTGTTGTAACTTCGAATACTAAGTTAAGGGAAATGTTGTAAGTCAAGGACTACGTGTACAGTATAAAGTATACAACCTGGAATAAATGCATACTAATCCCATTTACTGAAGTGTACATTAAAAAAGAAAATCATACTTACCGTGTACTTCGAGAAAAGGCAAAATGGTCGTTTGGGTTTGATTCTGATGGCCACGTCTCCTTCTTTCCTGGGGGGCTGAATATTTCCTTCATCATCAACGACCTTCAGAAATAAAAACAAAGCATCCCTCAGGCAAGTCCGGCAGAAATATGATTCATAAATAAAAAAGTATTGTTCCGATTGTGTTTATTGTCAGAGGTTTTCTAGTCCAACTCCCTGGCCAAGAGAGGAGTCCTTATATCAGTGATGGCTAATCTTTTCTGGACCGAGTAGCCAAATCGCACGCGTGCTCCCAAACCAGTAGTGGATTTCAAATTTTTTTTTACTACCAGTTCTGTGGGCGTGGCTTGGTGGGCATGGCATGGTTTGGTGGGCGTGGCAGGGGAAGGATACTGTAAAATCTCCATTCCCACCCCATTCCAGGGGAAGGATACTGTAAAAATCCCCATTTCCTCTCGAGCAGCTGGGACTTGGGAGGCAGACAATAGATGGGGGTGGGACCGGTCAGAATTTTTACTACCAGTTCTCCAAACTACTCAAAATTTCCGCCACCGGTTCTGCAGAACCGGTCAGAACCTGCTGAAACTCATCTCTGTCCCAAACCCCCAAAATGCAATGTGGATGCAGCCCCTGTGCATGCACGCGTGCCCCCCTCACACGCCCCACCCCCACGCATGCACGCGTGTCCCCCTGCACATGCTTTGCCCCTCGTGCATGCACGCGCCCCCCGCATACCCCCTGCCCCCTGCGCATGTGCAACAGAGACCCGAAAACCAACTGGCCAGTGGAAAGTGTGCGTATATGTGCGATGGAGCTGAACTGGGGCCGACAGCTGGCGTGCCCACAGAGAGGGCGCAGTATGCCACCTCTGGCACGTGTGCCATAGGTTTGCCATCACGGCCTTATACCATCCTGGTCTAATGTCTGTCCAATTGCCATTTGAGACCTTCCCAGCTGGCTTCCGAAAAGCAAAGTCAATGGAGGAAACCGGATTCACTTTAGGACCACATGGTTCAGTTAACAAGTGCAGGGATTGGCTTGGTACTTAAGAGCCGAGGTGGCGCAGTGGTTAAGAGTGCTGTACTGCAGCTACTTCAGCTGACTGCTAGTTCAGCAGATCAGCGGATCAAATCCCACCGGCTCAAGGTTGACTCAGCCTTCCATTCCTTCCGAGGTGGGTAAAATGAGGACCCAGATTGTTGGGGGCAATATGCTATTTAGTATACTGTCTTTGGTGTAAGCCGCCCAGAGTCCTCGGAGAGTGGGCGGCATAGAAATATGAATAATAACATAAATAAATAAATAAATAAATAAATAAATAAATAAATAAATAAATAAATAAATAATAACAACAGCCTTGGGGAAAAAAAGGTTGTAAAATTGTGCATCGTCCACTTAGCAAATGCTTTGCTTGGCAAAAGAAATTCTGGCTGCCAATTGTGGTCATAAGTTGTTTCTCTATCTAACTAATGTACCTGTACGGTGTATTTATTTTTCTTTTGGTTGTGACCAGCATAAAGTAAAAAAAGAAAAGAAAAAGAGCATAAAGACAGTGACATAATTAATCACAGCATAACAACACCCTACGTTTAAAAATTGTATTGTACTGAATAGCAAAATTGGTCCTCCTTACCTGGACATCGTAGGGTGGAGATGCTTTTCCCATTGAGCCAGGCTTAATTTTCATCCCTTGGACATTCGCACAGATTGTTACCTGCAAGAGAGAGGAGGATGAGGCACAACTTGTCAGCACCATGGTAACAATGAGGAGATGGGATCATCAGACCCAACTTTTGGGGAAATGAAAAGGAGTCTACCGTGGAACCCTTGATACACTTTGAGGTTGGTTGTTGGCTTGTAGACGTTTCATTACCCACCTAGCTAACATCATCAGTTCTAATGAGTGTGCTCTCTGTTTATATACAGTAGCTTGCCCTATGAAGTGTTGGTGTGGGGGATACCAGGGATGAAATCCAGCAGCTTCTGACAGGTTCTGGAGAACCGGTAGCAGAAATTTTGAGTAGTTTAGAGAACCGGCAAATACCACTTCTGGCTGGCCCCAGGAGTGGGGAGGGAATGGAGATTTTGCAATATCCTTCCCCCAGGAGTGGGGAGGGAATGGGGATTTTGCAGTATCCTTCCCCCAGGAGTGTAGAGGGAATGGGGATTTTGCAGTATCCTTCCCCTGCCACACCCACTAAGCCACACCATGCCCACCAAGCCACGCCCACAGAACTGACAGTAAAAAAAATTAGATTTCACCACTGGGGGATACATAGAAATAAATCATAAACCGTTCAAAAGAGACAATAAAAAAATGCGAAGAATCAAAAAAAAGAAGGTCCTAAGAAGAAAATTCTAGCAATCAATACCCGGATAAGCAGGGATTAACACCAGACAAACTATCTAGTAGAAAACAATGCTCTTATTATGGAGCTACCAAGGGAAAAAACTACTCCCCCATCAATACAGATGCGGCAAGATACTGAATATAAAACAGGCCACACACACCAGCACTGATGCTGTTACCTGATTGGGTAATGAAACGTCTTCAAGCAAACAACCAAGTTTAATGGAGCCTTGCGCTACAGAGATATTCTCTTTTATTGAAATGAATATATACCGTTTCGGTTTGTCCGTATGCTTCATGGATATCCAATCCAGTCTGAGTCTTCCATTGCTCAAACACTTCAGGATTGAGTGGTTCTCCACCAGTCATGCAGTGCTTCAAGCTCCTGAATTTATAGCTTGGAAAGAAACAGAGACACTAATTAATTCACTTTTTTCTTCGGTGAGTTGGTTTTGCATACCTTTGGAAGGAAATGTGACTTCTGCTGCCCAAAGAAGACTGTTAAGGATATTCTTGGCTCATAACCGATGTTATGGGTTATTGAGCAGAGTACCCCTTGAGTATGCACATGAAAGCGGCTGAGAGTGAATAACCACAGTTAATATACAGGCACACTGAGTTGTAGTAGTCTTTTACTTTTTAGGAAAAAAGTAAAGCAAAGTCCAATAACAATCCAAGTCATACACAGATAAGGCGATAGTTAAAATATCAATTCAGGGATATTCCAAGTACAAAGTCTTCTTACCAGTTGTTGTCATTACACAATAAAACAGTTCTTCTTGAGTTTCAAACAGGAACAAGTTCAGTATTAAAACATTCAATAAATAGTAGAAAGCAACAAGTAGCAATGATCAAACAGTGATCATACAGAGAGAACAGGTAGAGAGTAACAGCAAATAGCAGATAAAATAGTGTCCACAAGCCATGATTCAGGCTTCCCTTTAAGTACATTGGCTACAGAGCTTAGCCAATCAGGATACAGGATGATGCAATACAGTCTTAAAGCAATATAATGCCTTTTGACAAACATGTATTGATAGTTTATATATTGCCTGACCAACTAGTTAGACAATAGCCATTTTCTAACAAAGACAACCATCAATCTCCATCCTGTTGCTCCATCACCAGGAACAGAGCTCAGCTTGAAGATTTATATTTATCTGAGGTCATCTTAGCAGCTCAGGATAGCCTGAGCACAGGTAGTCCTCTACTTATGACTACAATTGAGCCCAAAATATCTGCTGTTAAGTGAGACATTTGTTAAGTGGGTTTTGCCCCCATTTCACAACCTTTCTTGTCACAGTTGTTAAGGGAATCACTGCGGTTGATAAATTAGTAACACCGTCGTTAAGCGAATCTGGCTTCCCCGTAGACTTCGCTTGTCAGAAGGTCGCAAAAGGAGATCACGTGACCCTGCAACCGTCATAAATATGAGTCAGTTGCCAAGCATCTGAATTTTGATCACATCATCATTGGGATGCTTGGAAAGGTTGTAAGTGTGAAAACAATAGTCATAAGTCCCCCCCTTTTTTTTTCAGTGCCATTGTAACTTCGAACGGTCACGAAATGAATCGTTGTAAGTCGAGGACTACCTATATTGCCTATTGATCTGGCTTTGAAATCTCAGCTAAAGGGGGTTCAGCAATAGAACCCTCAGTTCAAAATCTCCTTTGCGACGCAAGAGATATTCACTACATGGGGACACAATTCAGTTGTGCAAGGAAGCAATCTTAGGAAATCATATTGAGAAATTAATGAGAAAATAAGGACTGCCCCGTGCAACTTAGAATAGAACAACAGAGTTGGAAGGGACCTTGGAGGTCTTCTAGTCCAACCCCCTGCTTAGGCAGGATACCCTACACTATTCAGACAAATGTTTGTCCAACCTCTTCTTAAAAACTTCCAGTGTTGGAGCATTCATAACTTCTGGAGGCAAGTTGTTCCACTGATGAATTGTTCTCACTGTCAGGAAATTTCTCCTTAGTTCTAAGTTGCTTCTCTCCTTGATTAGTTTCCACCCATTGCTTCTTCTCCTGAGATGCTTTGGAGAATAGCTTGACTCCCTCTTCTTTGGGGCAGCCCCTGAGATATCGGAAGACTGCTATCATGTCTCCCCTAGTCCTTCTTTTCATTAAAGTAGACATACCCAGTTCCTGCAACCGTTCTTCATATGTTTTAGCCTCCAGTCCCCTAATCCTCTTGGTTGCTCTTCTCTGCACTCTTCCTAGAGTCTCCACATCTTTTTTACATCATGGCGACCAAAACTGGATGCAGGATTCCAAGTGTGGCCTTACCAAAGCCTTATAAAGTGGTATTAGCACTTCACGTGATCTTGATTCTTTCCCTCTGTTTATGCAGCCTAGAACTGTGTTGGGTTTTTTGGCAGCTGCTGCACACGGCTGGCTCCTATTTAGATGGTTGTCCACTAGGACTCCAAGATCCCAGAATTTCATAGTAACAACAGCAGAGCAAACAAACAAACAAACAAACAAACAAACCCTAGACAATTCCATTATATTTCCAGACTTCCGATTTTCATGTTGATTTTTCTTACCCTCATTTTTCATATTTTCTGTCAAAAAAAAAAAAAAATACCTGGTGGCATTGTGCTGAACCATCATTGTATATGCAGTGGGAGCTGTACAGAAAGTTGTGATTGGATATTTTGCCAGCGTCTAGATGGAGAAAATGAATAGGCAAACAACATGAAGAAAATGTGTATGAAGGCAAGATAATACACAATCGAGATGATTTCTGCAAGATGGAAATGACCCAGCCTGAAATTTAAGATAGGCAGGGTTGAATTTCGACACAACATGCGAAATCGTAGAGCCAATTTTAGAAACGGTTGCTGCATCTGCTTAAAATTCTACATCCAACAATGTTGGCCTGAGGGGTCCTTGGTGCTCTCTGAGCTTCAATGGTGGGATTCAGCCGGTTCGGGCCAATTTGGGTGAACCGGTACTTAAATTCAGTGGTGGGATTCAGCCAGTTCGCACCACTTCGGGAGAACCGGTTGTTAACTTTCTGAGCAGTTTGGTGAACTGGTTGTTGGAAGAAATCATTAAGGCAGAGAACCAGTTGTTAAATTATTTGAATCCCACCTCTGTTGAGCTTGTTTGCTATCTTGCAGACATTTCATGACCAAACTAGGTACCATCATCAGTGCATCATCTATCTAGCATTGAGGATGTTACCTAGTTTAGTAATAAAACGTCTGCAAGAAAACAACCAAGCTCAGAGAGCACCAAGGATCCCATAGTCCTCCTTCTCCTTTTCCTCATATTCTTCCCCCTCTGTCTCCTTCTTCCCCACTCCATAAACCCCACTTCCTTTAAACATTGATGTTGTTACCTAGCTAGGTAATGAAATGTCTGCAAGAAAACCACCAAGCTCAGAGAACCCCATGGAGCCCACTGTTCAACCCTGAGCTACAAACATTCTCTTCTAATTTTGGCTGGTTCACCCAAGCTACTTAATGCTTGCATTTCTACAACCCGTTGAACCGTAAATTATCTAGCTCTTTTTTAATAGGTGATGTGAACCTTGTCAAGATGACTTTAACTGGACAAACTACACAAAATCAAAGCAGGAACAACGAAGAGAACATTTCTAGTAAGCTGGGATCAAAATTGTGAGGTCCTTGCAGGGGTGAAATGCTACCGGTTTGGTCTGGTTTTGGGGCGAACTGGTAGCGATTAAAACTACCGGTTCAGGCGAACCTGTAGTAAAAAAAAGCTACCGGTTCAGTTGAACCAATAGTTAAAAAAAAAGTTATGATCCAACGATCAGCTGTGCCGCATGGTTTAGCTTCGCTAGAAAGCAGTACGCGCCAAAAGGAGAATTGGGAAGGTAAGTAGAACAGCGAGTCGGGGGGATCAGCTGTACCGCACAGTTTAGCTTTGCTAGAAAGCAGTACGCGCCAAAAGGAGGCTTGGGAAGGTAAGTAGAACAGCGAGTCGGGGGGATCAGCTGTGCTGCGCGGTTTTAGCTTCGCTAGAAAGCAGTACGCACCAAAAGGAGGCTTAGGAAGGTAAGTAGAACAGCGAGTTGGGGGATCAGCTGTGCTGCGCGTTTAGCTTTGCTAGAAAGCAGTACGCACCAAAAGGAGGCTTAGGAAGGTAAGTAGAACAGCGAGTTTGGGGGGATCAGCTGTGCTGCGCGGTTTAGCTTCGCTAGAAAGCAGTACGCGCCAAAGGAGGCTTGGGAAGGTAAGTAGAACAGCGAGTCGGGGGATCAGCTGTGCTGCGCGGTTTAGCTTCGCTAGAAAGCAGTACGCACCAAAAGGAGGCTTGGGAAGGTAAGTAGAACAGGAGTCGGGGGGATCAGCTGTGCTGCGCGGTTTAGCTTCGCTAGAAAGTAGTACGCACCAAAAGGAGGCTTGGGAAGGTAAGTAGAACAGCGAGGGGGGGATCAGCTGTGCTGCGCGGTTTAGCTTCGCTAGAAAGTAGTACGTGCCAAAAGGAGGCTTGGGAAGGTAAGTAGAATAGCGAGGGGGGGATCAGCCGTGCTGCGCAGTTTAGCTTCACTAGAAAGCAGAAAATCCTACTTTCTAGCAAAGCTAAACCACACGGCACAGCTGATCGTCGGATCGTAGCTTTTTTAAACTACTGGTTCAACCACTACCAGCTAACTACCAGTTCACCTGAACCAGTAGCTTTTTAAATGCGCAGCGCGTGTTTGGTGCACACTGCACATGCGCATGCAGTGTACGTTTGGTGCACACTCGGGCATGCACGGCCAGTGAACCGGTAGCAAACCGGTTCAGATGTCACCCCTGGGTCCTTGTCCTTTACTTTGATACCTTTTATAAATAGACATGCTTACATTTAATATGACTGTTGGTTCAAACCGGGGCAGATGATGTACAAACACACATGACCCATGGATCCATGGGCCAAATAAGTTGCTCCAGACTGTTTTTACCCATCCTGGATCCGAGGTATTCCAGAACACAGTTGAAGAAGACAGATTCATCCAGTGCCTGATCGAAAGAAAATAATATACAGGTAGTCTTCGAATTATGACCGCCTGTTGAGACCAGAACGTTCACGGTTCAGCAAGGCGATTGTTAAGTGAGTCACACCCAATTTTTTGACCTTTTTTTTTTTTTTGCAATGGCTGTTATCTGAATCATGGGGTCATTAAGCAAATCCAGCTTTCTCCATTGACTTTGCTTGTTGGAAGCCGGTTGGAAATGAAGATCATATAAGCCAAGACAAGCCAAGCCAAGCCAAGCCAAGCCAGGCCAAGCCAGGTCAAGTCAGGTCACGTCAGGTCACACCAGGTCAAGTCAAGTCAAGTCAAGTCAAGTCAAGTCAAGTCAAGTCAAGTCAAGTCAAGTCAAGTCAAGTCAAGTCAAGTCAAGTCAGGTCAGGTCAGGTCAGGTCAGGTCAGGTCAGGTCAGGTCAAATCAAGCCAAGCCAAGCCAAGCCAAGCCAAGCCAAGCCAAGCCAAGCCAAGCCCAGCCCAGCCCAGCCCAGCCCAGCCCAGCCCAGCCCAGCCCAGCCCAACCAAGCCCAACCAAACCAAACCAAATCATTAACTAAATAAATAATCCAGGCCTTCCAAATCAATGCCATGATATTACCTGCCACTGGATGTAAATCCAATGCCATAACTGGAGTGGCAATGCTCCACCATTTTGGGCGACCCGGTGCTTCCGCTCGTAAAGTAGATCAGCATTAAGTCTTCACTTCGTGACTTGACACAGTCGTGGTCACCAGAGGCTGCTCTGGAAAAGAAGCAGGTTGGTTTTGATGTGCACTTAGATTTTGCAATGGGGGGAGGGGCTAGGGGTTTTTCTTTCCCAATTGGGATTTATATACATCCGTGAATGGAATTCCGGGGAGTTTCTCCACATCCGGAAGGCAGCATCAGCAACTCTTCCAAGAAATTCAGAGCATCTTAGTCAAGAATGCAGTGCAGATGTTTAGGACTAGAACTGAAGGAATGTGGAACAGCTGCCTGTTCAAAGAACCAACCTTGATTCTTATTTATTTCTATTTAATTTATATCCCACCTTCATTGTTTTTATAAACAACTCAAGGCAGTGGACACACACATGACTCCTTCCTTCTCCTATTTTCCCCACAACAACAACAACAACCCAATGAAGTGAGTTGGGATGAGAAGAAGGTCCAAGGTCACCCAGCTGACTTTCATGCCTATGGCGGGACTAGAACTCCCAGTCTCCTAGTGATTGAGCCAAAGTCCCCTACTTGGCTTTCATGTCTAAGGCAGGACTGGAACTCACCATCTCCTGGTGATTGGCCCAAAGTCCTCTACTTGGTGTTCATGCCTAAGGAGGGACTAGAACACCCCAGTCTCCTATGATTGACCCAAAGTCCCCTAGTTGATTTTCATGTCTAAGGCAGGACTGGAACTCACCATCTCCTGGTGATTGGCCCAAAGTCCCCTGTTGACTTTCATGCCTAAAGAGGGACTGGAACTCACCATCTCCTGGTGATTGACCCAAAGTCCCCTAGTTAACTTTCATGCCTAAGGCAGGACTGGAACTCACCATCTGTTGGTGATTGGCCCAAAGTCCTCTACTTGGCGTTCATGCCTAAGGAGGGACTAGAACTCACCATCTCTCTGGTGGTTGGCCCAAAGTCCTCTACTTGGCGTTCATTCCTAAGGAGGTACTAGAACTCCCAGTCTCCTGGTGATTGACCCAAAGTCCCCTAGTTAACCTTCATGCCTAAGGCAGGACTGGAAACTCACCATCTCCTGCTGATTGGCCCAAAGGTGGGACTAGAACAGTGGTGGGTTACTCCTGGTTCAGTCTGGTTCTATAGAACCGGTAGTAAAACCGGCAGGAGGCTCCTGCCCACCCGCTACAATGTCATCATGGGTAATCTGTGCAAGTGTAGAAGCACACGATCCCTCTGGGAACCGATAGTAAAGGTAAGTGGAACCCGTCCCTGGACTAGAACTCCCAGTCTCCTGGTGATTGACACACAGTCACCCAGTTGACTTTCACACCCAAGGCAGGACTGTAACTCAGCATCTCCTGGTGATTGGCCCAAAGTCACCCAGTTGGCTTTCATGGCTAAGTCAGGACTAGAACTCCCAGGCTCCTGCTTTCTAGCTGATGCCTTAACCACAAGAAACTGGCTTCTTATATGGTCCAATAAGAAGCAGCTCATAAAATAATACTCCAACCCAGAAGATGATGATCTAGTTCTAACTTTTATTGGACTACGTACTGCAATAAGTCACTGAAATTTAGCCAGCCAGCTCTGCCTCTGTCGGACACAACAAGCTTGGTTGTCAGAAATTTGCATTCATCTGCGATCGAATCCACTGCAACGACGGACTGATCGGCCACCACAATGCATTTGGCTTTGGAAGCTTCAATTCTATAGGAAATTCTTTAGCTGTTAGCTGAGGTGTTCCAGGAATGAAAATAATCCCTAGGAAAGAAGAAAGGAAGAAAGCGATAAGAGAAACCAATATGAAAGGTCCATTTCATAGATAAAGTGAAGTTTGTGTAGGTTTCCTCTATCTGGTGCCAGCTCCGGTTGATGGATTTCCCAACATGGCCACGTTGACCAAGGATGATGAGAGTTTGGTCTAACGTATCTATGTGACTGGGCCTTTCTCGGGTTGAGGAAACGGTGATACAGAAAAACACAGTTGCAAAATCCTTCATTGCTAAGTTTATGAGATGAATTTGAGCTACCCAACATCACTCAACCTACCCTATTCTGCAGAATACCTGGGAGATAGATAGAATATTCATTGGCACACTTAGAAGAGTGTCAATTAGGACACCTCTTAGGAATGTCCCCTAACATTGTTAGGAAGAAGAGTCCACCAGGAAACAGAATATCAGAATAACAGTTGGAAGGGACCTTGGAGGTCTTCTAGTCCAAGCCCCTGCTTAGGCAGGAAACCCTACACCACTTCAGACAAATGGTTATCCAACCTCTTCTTAAAAACTTCCAGTGTTGGAGCATCTACAACTTCTGGCGGCAAGTTGCTCCACTGGTTAATTCTTCTAACTGTCAAGAAATTTCTCCTTAGTTCTAAGTTGCTTCTCTCCTTGATTAGCTTCCACCCGTTGCTTCTTGTCCTGCCTTCAGGTGCTTTGGAGAATAGCTTGACTCCCTCTTCTTTGGGGCAGCCCCTGAGATATTGGAACCCTGCTATCATGTCACCCCTGGTCTTAGCCTCTGCTTCTTAGGAATGTCCACTGGCCCACTTAGGAAGAGTGTCCACCAGGACACCTCTTAGGAATGTCCACTGGTACTTTTAGGAAGCAGAGGGTGAGGGTTGTCTTCCCTATAACATTTACTAACCTGTTCGCATACACGCCAGAACGAGTAGCCACCACTCTGGAATACGAGGCAGAACGATCAAAACTTTGTCCCCTCTTTGCAAGCCACATGGACCAGAAAGGACATTGGCAGCTTTTCGGGACAAGAAAGCCAGCTCCTCAAAGCTCCACTTCACCTCTTTGTTCTGACCGTTGACCCACCAGAAGGCTGGGTGGTGAGCTCTCTTTCCATCCTAGAGGGCAACTCAAGAAGTTAAAATTCAAGTAGGGGCAGCTGAAAACCTATCCCCGTGATGGCAAACTTATGGCATGTGTGCCACAGATGGCACATGGAGTCCTCTCTGCGGGCACGCCAGCTGTCGCCCCAACCCAGCTCCACGGGGCATGCGCATATGCCTCCCGCCGACCAGCTGGTTTTCGGGTCTCTGCCGTGCATGCATGGAGGCAGGGGCACATGCAAGTGCATTCACGCGTGTGTGCGCTTTGGGCAGTCGGCACCAAAAAAGTTAACCATCACTGACCTATCCTAATCCAAACAATATCTTATGATCAACTGCAAAAGAAAAGAAAAGCTAACCAGGAAGCAAAGAAACCAGCACATCCTCCCCTCGGTGACTCCACGAGGACATCAAAGCTTGCGTGCTTCCAACATTAACTTAACTTCATGCCCTACGTGGTTGCGTGGTCCTTTCTTGCAAAAGGAGCGCAAGGAGCCTGAGTGGCGTAGGACATTAATGCCTCCTACTAAGGCAGCATTTAACATCCAGCTGCCTGCAATTACTGCGAGTTCAATTCTCACCAAGCTCAAGGTCAACTCAGCCTTCCATCCTTTCTAAGGTGGGTAAAATGAGGCCCCAGTTTGTTGGGGGCAATAAGCTGACTTTGTATAAAATATACAAAAGGATGAAGGCTATTGCTTCACGCATTGTAAGCCGCCCTTACAATGAGTCTCCGGAGAAGGGCGGCATATAAAAATAAACAAATAAATAAATAATGTTACCTTTTCCTCTTGGGTCCATTTGTCCACCACGTCGCTTGCAAAGTTGAAGTACTCGGGCACTTCCTGTTCACCCCGATTAACAGCTTCATAATACGAGGGGATCAAAGAAGCCACGTGTCTCTTTGCTTGGTGAAGGAACACCCAAGGAGTCTGCAGGTGCCCAAAGCACCTGACTAGGAGTTTCATGACCCCAGTTTGAGATCAGCAATCAAGGGCTTGATTTCCTGCAAAAATAGGGAAGGGGAAGGGAGGGAAAGCAAGGGAAAGGAAAGGGGAGAATGTGCGAGGAAGGGAAGGAGAAGGAAAAGGGGAAGGGAACCCTGAGTTCCTTATAAAGCTACAGGAATCTTAGTAGATGCTTTGTGGCTCTCTAAGGGGATGACTTATTGGTTATCTTTAAAAAAATGTTCCCGACAAAGTGTATGAAAAACCAATCTCTTAGCCTGCACTTCACCTTACACAAAATAGCTTATCGTATTTTTCGGAGTATAAGACGTACCTTTTCACCCCCCTAAAAGTGGGTGAAAAGTTAGGTGCGTCTTATAGATCGAATACGGGCGTTTTGGGGCTCCCGAACTCTCCGCGCGTCACATTTTCGCCCTCCCTGGCTCCCAGAAGCACTCTGTGCGGCCCATGTGAGCACTGCAGAGTGCTTCTGGGGGCCAGGAAGGGCGAAAACATGATGCGCAGAGGCAAAAAAGTATTTTTTTTCTTGTTTTCCTCCTGTAAATTTAGGTGCGTCTTATAGTCTGAAAAATACGGCATTTTGTTGTAAGTGCACCATCTCAACCACTTACAGGTTGGGGATGGTTTTCAGCATCTCTCTGGAGGCTGATGTCTATTCTGCCCAACAGACTTAGGCAAAATTTAAGATGTGTGGACTTCGGCTCCCAGAATTCCCCAGCCAGCATTGGAATTCTGGGAGTTGACATCTGATCATTGCTGAGGTTGAGAAAAGCTGCCCTACTGGAACAGGGAACGTTTATCAGATCTGGTCTACCTTGCAGGACTGGCACTTGAGCTGGGAACCACCCTGAGAGCTCCTGCAGCTTGGATTCTGAGACTTCTAAACATTACTAAAGGGGAGGGAAAAAAGCAATTTTATCTTTTTTGCTTTCGTAAAATGGGAAACGGATGCAAATCGTAGCATAAACCCCCAACGTATCCTTAGGACCTAAAATACAAAGGGGAAAAATAAATTCCCCAGAAATAGGGATGTACATTTAGGGTTCCTCATCCCTCTACATACATTCTCTGCAGCCTTTGGCCACCCAGAGTTAAGGTAAAAGGTAAAGGTTCCCCTCGGACATCTGTGCTACTCGTTCCTGACTCTAGGGGGTGGTGCTCATCTCCGTTTCAAAGCCGAAGAGCCAGCGCTGTCCGAAGACGTCTCCGTGGTCATATGGCTGGCATGACTCAACACCAAAGGAGCACAGAATGAACGCTGTTCCCTTCCCACCAAAGGGGGTCCCTATTTTTCTACTTGCATTTCTTACATGCTTTCGAACTGCTAAATTGGCAGAAGCTGGGACAAGTAACGGGAGCTCACCCCGTTATGCAGCACTAGGGATTCGAACCGCTGACCTGCCGACCTTTCGATCGACAAGCTCAGCATCTTAGCCACTGAGCCACCGCATCCCTTGCAGGTCCTTTGCACCGCGTCCCTAACCCAAAGTTAGCCTGCTTCAAATTCAGAGTAATGGTTCAAAAATCAAGCACGTTTCCTAAAGACACCGCTAGATGGCGCTTTGCCACACAGGACCGTTCTAAACTCTGGCGGGAACCATTTTTTCTCCTTTTATCTGAATTTCCTTCTATTTGTTTTCCTTTTAGATTAGCAAAACCAACCGTCCCTTCGAGGATCCGGGAGAACAAAGGGACAAGAAGTCTTTGAATGAAGGATGAAGTGCAAGAACTGTTACACAGAGTTAGGAACAGTCCACATCAGAGAACGTTTCAATTTGGTTCTCATCTCCAAATTGGTTGTGTTTTTTTTTAAAAAAAAGTCCTACCTGAAATACTGTGGAGATGCTTTCTATCTTCCTAGGAAAGACCCTCACTCATTTTCTCACTGGGAAGGACCCATTTTTAGTGTGCATTTCTTTGCTTATTTAATCTGCCACTCAGGGATGGTATTCACTTGCCTTTGCTACCAGTTCGCAAATGTGAGCACGCACATTTGTGAGCATGGGCAGAGTCTTCTGCACATGTGCAGAGTGTCAAAAATGGGACAAGATGATGTCCTGGTAGGTGGGTGGAGCCTCCCGCAGTCGGTGTTACCGTTTCGCCCCGAACCGGATAGAACCGGCTGAATTTCACCTCTGATCTTACTCCATTTATGCCTGCAAAATGTCCATGATTTGAGGGCAAAGAAGAAATCGGCATGACCTCTGGGCTTGTTTTGAAGAACATCCTGGATGTACCGCAAATCTAGAATGCTCTCTTGAACTTACCGACTTCCAGCCTTCTAGAAGTGGAAGGGAAGACGTGGCGGAGTAGATTTTGCACGGTAGTTGCCCAAGACATCCAGTTAAGCTCTGTTCATTATTGTATAGTGTGCTTCAGTAGGCAAGAACCAGACCAGCATAGCTACACCAACATTTATTGACTCAAAACTGGAACTGAGGAACTGCAGGCAAATGCCTGTTATTTATACCCCGGGACCACAGGGCCTTAACCAATCGTAGTGGCTTGAAAAAGCCCGCCCAAATATGAAGGTATCAAGTTTCCCTCCAAACCAGTTGGAGTTAACAGTTAGGGTCATCTAAAAGGTTAGTTTCCTTTAGCAGGGCTTAACACAACTACGTGCATTCAATACCTAACATTCATCCTGATCTGTTGTCTCAGGGATGAAGCTTTTTAAAAGGGAAAATAGGAAAGACTGAACTGTCCGTCAGGGGATAGAGTGATGGGTCGAAGTCCTGTTTGGCTTCAGAGCAATGACCGAGAGGCAAATGACCCGTCTCATCCATCTCATCTGATGAGGACACAAATAACAGTTGAATGGGAGGAAGAGAGAGAAGAGATGAGGAAGGGAGAATGGAGAAGGAGAAGGAGGAGGAGGAGGAGAAAGAGAAAGAAAAAGAAAGGAGGAGGAGGAGGAGAGGAGGAGATAGAGAAGGAGGAGGTGGTGGTGGTGGAGGAGGAGGAGGAGGAGAAGGAGGAGGAGGAGGAGGAGGAGGAGGAGGAGGAGGAGGAGAAGAAGAAGAAGAAGAAGAAGAAGAAGAAGAAGAAGAAGAAGAAGGAGGAGGAGAGGAGGGAGAGAAGAAGAAGAAGAAGAGAAGAGAAGAAGAAGAAGAGAAGAAGAAGAAGAAGAGAAGAAGAAGAAGAAGAAGAAGAAGAAGAAGAAGAAGAAGAAGAAGAAGAAGAAGAAGAAGAAGAAGTTGTTTTCATGTTATGTCACATATAAGGTGACACATCGGGCAACCTTCACCCCCAAAAGTTCATGTCACTTTCAAGCTTTCCTTTTATACCCTCCAGAACTTTCCATAATTACACTGCTAAAAATCAGCTGATTCCCCCCTGCCTTATCTGAATAATATAGCATACAGGGAAACCAGTTTAGCAGTCAAACCCCAAGGAGCTCAACCAGAAGCTTGCGATTCTCAACGACTCGCTTTTAACACCCCTGGGTCCTCTTTTTCAATTCTCTCCAGTGGGCTAACTTCCTTTCCATTTTATTTTCCCAATCTACTGTTTCCTAGAAGAACACCCCCATCGACATCTCGTCCAATCCCTGAACATTTCACTCGTCGACTCCGAAAGTTGGTGAAAACTTCAATCGGGCACAAGTCTTCGTTTGCTGCAGGAATGAAAATGGAATTCTTTCCTCTACGGGAAGACTTCTTCAGAGGAGATAATTCAATGTGAAAAGGAGATTTGGGGTTATTCTTTTGAAGCGGTTGGCAGCCGAGTCTGGCTAAAGGATGATGGATGGCGAGCTCCCAATAATTAGGATGAAATTCAACGTTTCATGGATATGACACTGATCAGCACGAGAAGATTAAAAATCTCCTGCCCCATTTATCAAGGCTTTCTCAGAAAAATCTCGGGGCGGGGGGAAACAACGGTGTCCCCATTGAACAGTGAAGAAGTGAACATTTGAGCTCCTTTGAAGGTCCATGGAAATCTTGAATGTGGCTTCCACAGCTTCTCAGAAATTGCCACAGTATTGTCCCTACTCAGTTTGACAGAGGGAAAAACAATTAATCACAGGTAGCCCTCGATGTACGACCACAATTGAGCCCAAAGTGTCTTTTGTTAAGTGAGACATCTGTTAAGTGAGTTTTGCCCCGTTTTATGAACTTTCTTGCCACAGTTGTTAAGTGAATCGCTGCGGTTGATAAGTGAGTCACCCGGTTGTTAAGCGAATCTGGATTCCCTGTTGACTTTGCTCATCAGAAGGTCGCAAAAGGAGATCTCTCTCTTTTAATCTTGGCTGTTCACCGCCCCGAGTCCTTCGGGAGAGGGGGCGGTATAAAAATTTAATAAATAAATAAATTTAATAAATAAATAAATAATCTCACGTGACCCTGGGCACAGCAATGGTCATAAGTATGAACCCGTTGCCAAGCATCTGAACTTCGATCGCGCGATCCTGGGAAAGTTACACAGGTCGTAACTGTGAAACACGGTCATAGGTCGCCTTTTTCAGGGCCGCTGTAACTTTGAACCGTCACTCAACGAACTGTTGTAAGTCGAGGACTACCTGTACAGGCGGCCCTCGACTTATGACCTCAACGGAGCCCAAAATCTCTGTTGCCGAGCAAAACGGTGTCTCACAAGGTCTCACTTAGCTCCAGAAATTTTGGGTCCAATTGTGGTCGTACGTTGAGGACTAGCGGCACAGATTACAAAAGGTGATTCACAAAATATGAACAGCAGGGGGCCGGGAGGAGGGAAGAGATCACCGCCCGCCGCTCGGAAAAACTGAGCAACCTGAAGGGAGAACATCACCTCTGGAGCCAAATAATTCAATTCAGTGCTACGTTTCCCATAATTAAGACGCTCCTCGGGTTTATATTCCCCGCCATTCCCCGTACACGCATTATATTCGGAGCCATCCCTCTTCATTTAATCTCCTTAAGCAAGGCCCTCTGGGTGTACATATGGATGTACGTACACAAACGCTACAAAGATAGCAATTACCTCTTGCATTTAGGAGGCAGGAAAAAACACCGCTGACCCAATTCTCTGCTCTTTTTCTTTTTTTTTTCGGATGGAAGGGTTTTGTTCTTATCGATCGGTATATTTTCAGTTTCTAGATAGCTTAATTGTGAGGGCAACTAAGGCTGGGGTTTGCTCCAGGGGTGAAATTCAGCAGGTTCTGATAAGTTCTGCAGAACCGGTAGCGGAAATTTTGAGTAGTTTGGAGAACGGGCAAATACCAACCCCTGGCTGGTCCCAGGAGTGGGGAGGGAATGGGGATTTTGCAATATCCTTCCCCCAGGAGTGAGGAGGGAATGGAGATTTTGCAATATCCTTCCCCTGGAGTGGGGAGGGAATGAGGATTTTACAGTATCCTTCCCCTGGAGTGGAGACAGAATGGGGATTTTGCAATATCCTTCCCCTGGAGTGGGGATGGAATGGGGATTTTGCAATATCCTTCCCCTGGAGTGGGGAGGGAATGAGGATTTTGCAGTATCCTTCCCCCAGGAGTGAGGAGGGAATGGGGATTTTGCAGTATTGTTCCCCCAGGAGTGGGGATGGAATGGAGATTTTGCAGTATTGTTCCCCCAGGAGTGAGGAGGGAATGGGGATTTTGCAATATCCTTCCCCTGGAATGAGGAGGGAATGAGGATTTTGCAGTATCGTTCCCCTGGAATGAGGAGGGAATGAGGATTTTGCAATATCCTTCCCCCAGGAGTAAGGAGGGAATGGGGATTTTGCAGTATCCTTCCGCCGGGAGTGAGGAGGGAATGGGGATTTTGCAATATCCTTCCCCCAGGAGTGAGGAGGGAATGGGGATTTTGCAGTATCGTTCCCCTGCCATGCCCACCAAGCCACGCCCATAGAACCGGTAGTAAAAAAATTCAAATTCCACCACTAGTTTGTGCTTTTTAGCTTTTCCCAGGTCTTGTTCTTGATGCCCGTAAGTTTCCAATTTACAACAGCTTGTTCAATGACTGTTCAAAGTTACAATGGCACTGGAAAAAGTTAACTTTTACAACTGTTTTTCCCACTTATGGCCGTTGCCGAATCCGCATGGTCATGTGACTATCTTGATTATCTTTTGCGAACATCTGACAAGGAAAGTCAGTGGGGTTGGTAAAACTTAACTACTAGAAGAGTTGGTAACATTTAATAACCGTTGTTACTAACTTAACCATTGCCGTGATTCACTTAACTAATTTAACTAACTTAAAAAGGGCAAAATTAACTTAATAACTGTCTCGCTTAGCAACAGAAACTTGGGACTCCATTGTGGCCGTAAGCCGTGGACTATCTGTAGTCAGGAGAGGAATTAAAGACACACTAAAGGTATAGAATAATAGAATAACAGAATTGGAAGGGACCTTGGAGGTCTTCTAGTCCAACCCCCTGCTTAGGCAGGAAACCCTACACCACTTCAGACAAATGATAATCCAACCTCTTCTTAAAAACTTCCAGTGTTGGAGCATTCACAATTTCTGGAGGCAAGTTGTTCCACTGATGAATTGTTCTAACTGTCTGGAAATTTCTCCTTAGTTCTAAGTTGTTTCTCTCCTTGATTAGTTTCCACCTGTTGCTTCTTTTCCTGCCTTCAGGTGCTTTGGAGAATAGCTTGACTCCCTCTTCTTTGTGGAAGCCCCTGAGATGTTGGAAGACTGCTCTCATGTCTCCCCTAGTCCTTCTTTTCATTAAAGTAGACATACCCAGTTCCTGCAACCGTTCGTCATATGTTTTAGCCTCCAGTCCCCTAATCACCTTTGTTGCTCTTCTCTGCACCCTTTCCAGGTATCTTTGGAACAACCAGAAATGGTACCATAGATAACCTGCAATTACTACCTGTCAATCAGGAAGAATGTCAACACCACGATTGGATCAGCTCCCTCTTTTATAAACTGGATGCATCGTGCTAAGCTACAATTGGGCTAATCATGGTGACCTCCCATCTGTCAGGACCACACGTTGAGCTCTAGTTAAGCTGATTTATTGCTCAGGTCTACATACAAGAATCTATTCACACTAATCATTTCCTTTTAATGGCCCCATAATCCATAATGGAATCTGGGCAACTGAATAGAGCAGAGTGTTTACCGTCCGGATGCCCTTCCTGTCGCCAATGCGGAATTTTATTCAGCAGATAAATTCTCATCGTGCCCAGAGAGAAATATCTGCTTCTACCTAGGATCGAACTCACAACCTCCTGATTGTGAGGCGAGAGCTCCACCTCTAGGCCACCGCACCACTCTAGAATCTAGTCAACTAATGGTCAGCACTAAATTGGTGCTAGGTAAGAGTTAATGGAATTCAAAACAGATTGAGTTTAGACCAAGGGTGGGATTCTATCTGTTCGAACCGGTTCGGGCAAATTGGTAGCTCCGACGATCAGCTGGGAGTGAACCGGGTCTCCCTGATGATTAGATGGGCCCACTCACTTGCCCGCACTATTTTCTAT